AAATACTGGAAGCCCTCATCGTGAGCTTGAGCGGTGACTTTATCTCTCGAGCGATGAGGCCGAATTCTGGATTTTCAAAACAGAGTTTTGAGCTTCAAAACACAAATTCAAAGTGTAAAACCTTGCATGACATGTTCCAAATCATGAATACACCTTCAAAAACATGAACATGAAGTCAATTCTAAACCTTAAGCTTGAAACACAAAGATTTTCCAAAATTGAAGCTTAAAGTTTCAAGCATGTATGAACTTGTTTCAAATTCCTTTCCATAATTTTCAAAACATGAATTTGAGCTTCAATTCAACATAATTCATGGATGCATGTATGATATAACTCCTAAATTCAACATAGGTAACAAAACTCATGAGCAAAATGATGATTCTTCACACACACACACACACATATATATATATATGCATGCATGTATGTTTAACTTTAATTTCATCATCCTAAGTTCAATTCTTGTGTCTAAACTCATAATCTTCTTGAATTTACATACTTGGTGGTTTAAATTCATGAACTAGCAAATTCTTGAATTCTTTTTCTCAAATCTCCAATTTTCTAGCCAAATCTTCAAGTTCTTCCTCTCTCTCTCTCTCTCTCTCTCTCTCTCTCTCTCTATAACTCTTTTAACAAAATTTTTGAGTTCCCAAATGATTAATTCTCATCTCCTTAACATGTATATATGTGTGTGTGTAAGTGTGATTAGCTTAGGATGCTAATTAACTAATCAAGGTTTAAGTTTAATTAGTTAACTTAATCTTTTTGAACTGAATCAAAATTTAATTAAACTTCTCAATAGGCTCTAAAAAGTATGCCATTCTAATTAAACTTATGAATTTTGGTTTCTGAAGTCATTAAGGGCTTGAATTTCATATTTAAAGCAGAAATCACAACAAATAATTTACCAATGAACATATATGCAAGCAAATACACATCAAACACATAATTAACCTTCAGAATTAACTAGATAAAAGTATATTACGTGATGGGGTTGTCACAGTCTTCCCCCTTTAAGAAGTTTGGTCCTCCAAACTTGCGTCACCTTGTATTGAAAACAACTTCGGATACCTTTGCCTCATTTTGTCTTCTCTTTCCCATGTGGCTTCTTTGCTGTAATGTTCTTTCCATTCTACCTTAACCAAATTTCTCTATTCCTCAATTGTTTCACTTGTCGATTAATGATTTGGATCAGTTTCTCTTCATATTCCATATTATCATCGAGAGCTATCCGGTGATAATCAATTATGTGAAACGGATCTCGAAGATAACCTCTCAACATTGACACATGAAACACATTATGTATTTGCTCTATTCCGGGTGACAAAGCAATCTAATATGCAACTAGACCAAACTTTTTTAAAATCTGAAACGACCCAATATACTGAGGTGATAACTCGCCCTTCTTGCCAAATCTTAATTAACCCTTCATCGGAATTACTCTAATGAACACATGATCACCGATATCATATTCAAGAGCCCTTTTTCTTTGATCCGTATAACTCTTTTTTTGACTTTGCGCTATTTTGAGCCTTTGCTGAATGATCTAAATCTTCTCGGTAGGTGTTTGCATAATCTCAGGACCAAGCAAAACTCTGTCTCCAACTGTTGCCCAAGAAACTGGAGATCTACATTTCTTGCCATACAAGTCTTCATACGGTGCCATGCTAATACTAGAGTAGAAACTATTGTTGTATGCAGATTCCGCCAACGACAAATAGGTTTCCTAACTTCTCTGAAAATCCAGAGCACACATTCAAATAAAGTCTGTATAGTCCTCTTTGATTTCCCATCGGTTTGCGGATGAAAAGTGGTACTAAACCTCAATTATGTTCCCATTTCTCTTTAAAGACTCTTCCAGAGTCTGGACACAAACTTACGATCCCTATTTGAAATAATAGATACTGGAACTCCATGCAAACGAATAATTTCATCGATATAAATAATAGCATGTCTATAAGCATCATAGATGGTTTGGACATGTGGAAAATGTACAGATTTAGTTAACCTATCAATAATAACCCAAATAGAGTTCATACATCTAAGTGTCCGAGGTAAACCAACAATGAAATCCATGGTAATGTGCTCCCATTTCCATTCTAGAATGGGGATAGATTAAAGTAACCCTGCCGGTCTCTAATGTTCAGTTTTAACTTGTTAACATTGAAGACATCTGGATACATATTTTGCAATTTTTTTTTTTTTTCATATTAGGCCACCAATAACTTTACTTCAAATCTTGATACATTTTAGTGTTGCCCGGTTGCATTGCAAACTTCGATTTATGAGCCTCTTCTAAGATTCTTTTCTTTAGTTTAGAAATATTGGGATACAAAGTCTTCCTTGAAATTTCAACACTTGATTCTTAACACTAAATCCTAGTCTTCGATTAGATTCTATTTTATTAAATACTTTCTTACGGAATTCGTCCTCCAGTTTCTTTTGCTTTATCTCTTCAATAATTGTCAGTTAAGCTGAAGTTGCAGCCATCGTTTCGTTTTGTTCATGAAATATCACTTCAACCTCAAACCCTTCCAAGTCTTTCAACAATTCTCTCTGTTCAGTAAACAAAAACGCTAAGTTTCTTGTTGAGTTCCTACTAAAAGCATAGGCTACAATATTGGCTTTGCCTAGATGATACTGAATCTGAATATCATAGTCTTTAATTAGTTCTAACCATCTCCTTTGTCACATGTTCAACTCCTTTTGAGTGAAGAAGTATTTTAAATTTTTGTGGTCGGTGTAGACTTCACATGTTACTCCATAAAGATAGTGCCGCCAAATTTTCAAAGCAAACACAACAGCGGCAAGTTTCAAGTCATGTGTCAAGTAGGTTTTTTTCATGCAGTTCAATTATTGGGATGCATAGGCAATCACCTTACCGTTTTGTATTAAAACACAACCCAAACCTTTATACGAAGTGTCACTACAAATCATAAAACCTTCAATACCTGATGGTAAGGTCAAAACCGGTGCTATGGTTAGCCATGTTTTTAGTTCTTGAAAAGTGAATTCTCTTTCATTGGTCCCTTCAAACGATTTATAGCGATCCCGGTTTTCCCTTCATTGTTTAGTTGTATTTCAGACTTGGTTCCGTGGATGTATTGTTGTCTTTTTCCTGTTTCCATCCTTTACTCTTTGTATATGAGTCTTTGATCGTGTTGGGTAGGTTTAAAACAGGTTAGTTGTGCTTGGAAACCAAGGGTTGATGTCCATTTAATTCCAACTAGTGTCTATTAAATTTGCATAATGGTTCATTCAATTCGAATTAGTGATCCATTCATATTCCATTAGTGGGATTTTATGACAAACTTGTCCATTCATATTTCTAACTAGTGTTCATTTAATTCTAGTTAGTGTTCATTTAATGCTAGTTAGTGTTCGTTTAATTCTAACTTGTCCTTTCATTTTCCAATTAATGGGCTTTAATAACAACCTTTCAATATCACTTGTTCATCTCCCTTTTGATTTCAAAACCCTAGAACCATCTTCTCTCTCTCCCTACACACCTTCTCTCTAGGTTTTCATCTCCCTCTAGTGTAAATCTATACTAAGTCCTTTGTAAGAAAGGTAGAGTGGGTTGAGGGCTTCATTTTTAATCTTAAAGTTTGGCGATTTGGAGCACTTTGGTTTTTGGCCTTCATCTTCTCCATTTGGTCTCTCCATTTGAGGTAGGGATTTCTTTGTTCCTTTTCAATACTCCGTCTATAGATAGACATGTGGTAGTTTTGTATTGCATGAAAATCATATCCGTGTTGGATTTGTTTGAAAATCATGAGGGGAACCTAGGGTTAGTTGTTTGAGAATGGTTTTGTTATCACTGACTGTGGTTTGGACTAATTAGAGAGTAAAATTAGCATGTTATTGTTGAAAGAAGAGAAAGCCCTAAATTATATTGTGATTTGGTAAAATAAAAAGGATTTACGGATTTTGATTTGGTAAAATAAAAAGGATTTACGGATTTTGATTTGGTAAAATAAAAAGGATTTACGGATTTTGATTTGGTAAAATAAAAAGGATTTACGGATTTTGATTTGGTAAAATAAAAAGGATTTACGGATTTTGATTTGGTAAAATAAAAAGGATTTACGGATTTTGATTTGGTAAAATAAAAAGGATTTACGGATTTTGATTTGGTAAAATAAAAAGGATTTACGGATTTTGATTTGGTAAAATAAAAAGGATTTACGGATTTTGATTTGGTAAAATAAAAAGGATTTACGGATTTTGATTTGGTAAAATAAAAAGGATTTACGGATTTTGATTTGGTAAAATAAAAAGGATTTACGGATAAAACTGTTATAGTCATGAAAGTTTGGAAAAATGGGTAATAAAAAGGAAAGGGAAAAAGGTAAACCGCTTATAGCGTCGAACGAAATGGCTGTTTTCGAGAAAAGTTCATACTTATGTATATTTTGTATAAACTGCCACATTACTATTCTAGTATGAGATTGAACATTCATGATCATAGCTATCTGTAGGTTGTTATTGTTGGAGATCATGTTGAGATCCCTACTGGACTATATGTTCATCCCACGTTGTTGAATCTTTTTCAGGTGATAGCCAGGATGTTCTACAAGGTTGGATCTTTTTATTTGTTGGCCACGGGGCCTCTTTTGTGTTGGCGGAATGCCATTTATGTAAAAGGGTTATACCCTTCTTCTTGACTTTTTAATGATGTAAGCCCAAGGGCAATTTATTTAGTGTTCTCATGTTGTATTTACTTGCATACGAATGAGAGCAATGTTATTCACTTCTACAAGTTGAATATACGAGTTTATTTCCGCATGTTATCTCTGAAATGGAATTAAGTAAATGAAATTGGTAATACTTCGAGTAATAAAAAGTGGGGCATGACACGATTCACCCTTTCGAGTAAGTTGGATAAACGGTATGGCTATCTTTGAGAAGGTTTTCACAAACTTTCTGTAATACTCGGCCAATCCAATGAAACTCTAAACTTCTGTTACATTTGTCAGTGTAGGCTAATTCATAATTACCTCAATCTTCTGCGGATCCACCAAAATCCCATTCTTGTTAATTACATGCCCTAGAAACATAACTTCATCCAACCAGAATTCACATTTCTTCAGTTTTACATACAATTTCTTTTCTCTAAGTGTTCGAAGAATAATTCTCAAATGTTGTTCATGTTCTTCTCTACTTTTCGAGTAAATTAGAATATCATCAATAAATACAACCACAAATTCATCAAGGTAATATTTGAAAATTCGAATCATAAGGTCCATTAAGGCTGCAGATGCATTCATTACTCCAAACAGCATAACTAGGAATTCATAGTGTCCGTACCTTGTTCGGAATGCGATTTTCTTGATGTCTTTAGCTTTCACTTTCAGTTGATGGTACCTAGATCTCAAGTCAATCTCCAAAAACACCTGTGAGCCCTATAACTGATCAAATAAGTCATCAATACGAGCCAAAGGGTATTTGTTCTTGATTTTTACCTTATTCAATTATTCAATTCCCGGTAATCAATACACAAGCGAAGCGTTCCGTCTTTCTTCTTCACAAATAGAACTAGTGCACCCCACGGTGAAGTACTAGGTCGGATAAATCCCTTGTCAAGCAAGTCTTGCAACTGACCTTTCAATTCTTTCATTTCAGCTGTTGACATTCGATACAGGGTCTTCAAGATAGGTTGAGTACCCGGCATAACTTCAATGGTAAATTCAATTTCTCGATCAACTAATTTCCTTGGTAATTCTTTCGGAAACACATCTGGGAATTCTTTAACTATTAGAATATCATGTAACATAGTATCCATAGATTGAACAGTCAAAATACTACATAGATAACCCCAACATCCCTTCTTAAGCAGTTTACATGCTTTCATTGCCGAAATTAAATAAGGTGGAGTTACTACACCATTACCCTTAAACAAAAATTCATCTTGTCCCAAAGTTCTAAACAAAACTTGTTTTGTCACACTATCAATGGTAGTACAATATTTAGACAACCAGTCCATTCCCAAAATTACATCAAAGTGTTTTATGTCAAGCGACAATAAATCCACATATAATGTAGCACTCCCAACAATAATTTCACAAGCACAATACACAGAAGTACACAAAACAGATTCTCAGATGGAATAAATACATATAACACATAAGGTAGTGATTCCATAGGTCTATTCAGTCTATGTGCAAATTTAGTGAAAACGAAGGAATATGTCAAACACGAGTTAATTAGCACATAAGCATCTTGATTGCAAATACAAAGAGTACCTGAGACAATGTGCTTGGACCTCAGCAACTCTTTGACTTTGTGGTTCAGTAACCAGGATTGAAGGCTCACCATCTTCTTCCTCATTTGTCGCTGAAGTAGGAGAACCTATGTCATCTATAACCACATTGATCGATTCCATTAAAGATGAAGTTCACAGGTTATAGACTCAAAAAGCCCTATTTGTGGTTGAATACCCTAGGAATATACCTTCATTACTTCAGGAGTCAAACTTGCCCAAAGGCTCTCTATCTTTGAAAATGAAACACTTACTCCCAAAAGTTTTGAAGTATTTTACATTAGGTTTTAATCCCTTCCACAATTCATATGGAGTTTGTAAAGTGTCGGGCCTTAAATACACACAATTTATGACATAAACAACAGTATTTAGGGCTTCAACCCAAAACTTTGGAGGAACTTTCTTACTAAGGAGCATGACCTTAGCCATTTTTTGAACAACCCTGTTCTTCCTCTCAACAACTCCATTTTGTTGTGGAGTAATAGGTGCAGAAAATTCATGCTTAATTCCATGCATATCACAAAAATCCGAAAACGAACTGTTTTCAAACTCTCGACCGTGATCAGTTCGGATTCTTATGATACACCCAATGGAAACACCTTGTTCATTTTGGATTTTAACATTAAAGCCTGGAAAGCATCAAACGTGTCAGATTTTTCTCTTAAAAAATTTACCCACGAAAAACGAGTAAAATCATCAACTGTTAAAAATATGTATCTTTTACATCCAATGCTTTCAGTGCAAGTAGGTCCCATTAAATCCATGTGAACCAATTCAAGAGGACGTTTGGTTGTAAATTTGTTCACCTTTTTATGAGGGGCACGGGTTTGCTTTCCAAGTTGACATGGTCCATACACATGGTTCAGATTCTTACCCAGTTTAGGTACGCCTCTCACAAGCTCTTTGTTGGTTATCTTAGTTAGGTCTTTGAAATTCATGTGACCTAATCTTTGATGCCACAGATCAATGTTACTTATGATGGCAGAGCGGCAAGTGAGATCATTAATTAGTAGTAACAATCCCGTAGCAGTTATCAAATGTGCGAACCCCATGCATGACAGTATTTCCCTTTTTATCCAAAATTTCACATTCATTTTTTGAAAACAATACTTCATGGTGGGAATCACACATTTGACTAATGCTCAAAAGATTAGATTTAAGGCCATCAACAAGTAAAGCATTTTCAAGCTTGGGAAGACCAGCCACACTTATAGAGCCCCTACCAATGACTCTAGAAGTGCCACTATCTCCAAAGGTAACAATTTCACCTTCATATTTTTCAAGGGAGGTGAAATAGGATTTGTCACCTGACATGTGACGAGAGCACCCACTATTAAGATACCACATGTGTGAGTCACGTGCTTTTAGAGCAGTGTGAACAACTAAACAAGTCAAGTCATCTTTTCTCACCCATATCTTTTTGGTCTTAACAAAATCAGGACTGGTGGTCTTGGTAAATGTCTTAGCATTGTGAACACCCTCATGTATTTTGGTGTTCCGCCTAGACATGTAAGGTTGTCTCCTAACCCAAAAAGTATTAGAATTTCTACCCTTTTGAGACACCTTACCAAACAATTTAAAGCAATATGGACGAATGTGGCCATACCTACCACAATGATGACAAATAAAAACAGGTTTTACCGCTCTTTTGTTGATCTTACCCCCGTTAGGTAGATGAAGAGAGGGATCACCCTAGTGCACCTTCAGCTTTCCCTTTGCTTGAGTTTTCAGGTCATGAGATGTAGAGGCCTGTCCTTTGTGAGCTGTCGCATTACCATAGCCTAGCCCACTTTTGTCACAACCCATTTGTTGAGACTCGAGGATGTCTTCTAATGATTTGTAACCTTTGCTCTACATGGCAATTGTGGCTGTAGCAATTTCGAGTTCTTCATCTTTATGACAAACCATCTCTTCCAAAGTAGCTTGTGACATCTCAAGGCTATCAATCTTCTCTTCATATGTGGAATATACTTTCAAGAGTTCATTCCTTTCAGTCTCACAAGATAAAAGTTTCCCACATAGATCTTGCCTGTCACTAGAGATCTTGATTCACATTCTGCTTTGTTGTTACAAGTTCTCCTCTTAGCTTGACATTCTCGCTTTCACATGCTTTGAGCTTGATAGTAAGTTTGTCATTGATCTTGGACAAATTCAGAGATTTATCATAAAGTTTTTCGTAAGCTTGTTGTAGATCATCACCATCAATCTCATCATTGTCTTCTGATGTTTCATCATCTTCTATTTGCTCCTCTTTCTTCTTAACCTCATCCAGTCGAGCAACTAAGGCAGGAAAGGTGATAGATGGTGGTGAAGATGACACTCATCTCTCATGAAATTGGCTCAGAATAACCCATGCATCTTTGGCCTTTGTGCAATGAGCAACCCGTTGCTGTTCTTCATCAGAAATTGCTTCACAAATAGTAATCAGAACTCTCTGATTGCTCGGATTGTCAACACTTTCAACCTCTTCTTCAATGGCTTGCCAGCCTTCAGGGCCGAAAGCTCTCAGAAACGCCCTCATTCTGATCTTCCAATACAAGTAATTACTCTCATCAAAGGTAGGAGCACGGTGCAGATTCTGACCATAAGCAAATTCTACTGACTTCAGAGGAGTTTGAGTGAAAGTGGACCAGAATGCCATGAAAGCACTATCCCCGTCTTCAGTGGATTCAGTTTCTTCAGGTTCTTGCTCTGACCCGCTTTCATCATCCCAAGTCACAGTGTAGACTTTCTTCTGATTCTTTTTTGACGGACATTCAAGAGCAATATGTCCAAAACCTTGACATTCATAACACTTGACCCCTTGCCCTTTTACAATCTTCTTTTCAGTTTTTGGAGCAAGTTTCGGTGGAAAATTTTTGGGTTTATCATTACTCTTGTCTTTTGAAACAGGGTCTCTAAAATTCAACTTCTTTTTCTTTAAATTTTTTTTGAACTGTTTAGTAAACATAGCCGTCATCTCAGACTTTAGATCAAACTCAGTCTCATGAGTTTTTGCAGTCTTATGAGCACTAGTGAAAGCCACACTATCTTTTTGTTTTTTCTTATAAATCTGGTGGGCTTTTTAAGTTTGCAAGTTTCCAACCAACTAATCAAGCTTGAGGGTATCAACATTCTGAGCCTCCTCAATAGCTGTCACTTTTGATTAGAACCTCTTGGGTAAAGACCTCAAAAATTTTCGAACAACCTTAGTTTCAGGGATTTTTTCACCGAGTGTGAAACAGGAATTCACGATGTCACTAAGTTTAGCATAGAAATCATCAAACATCTCATCATCACATATAAAAAGGGTTTCAAAGGCAGAGGTGAGACGTTGAAGTTTTGACCTTTTAACAGAAGTTGTACCCTCATGAATCGTTTCAAGAATGTCCCCAAGCCTCTTTTACTACCTCACACGTACAAATACGATGAAACTCTTCAGGTGTGACGGAGCAAAAAGGGGAATTGAGAGTCTTACTGTTCCAACTCGAGCTTTGATAATCGAATGCGTCCCATTTATCAAGGGGTTTGGGAATATCAACACCATCAATGGTGACAATAGGTTCACTCCACCCATAGATCACACGGTGCCAAACTTTCTCATCGATAGATTTTAAAAATGCTCTCATGCGAGCTTTCCAATAAGAATAATTTGTACCATCAAGTAACGGAGGTCTATGGGTCGAGTTACCTTCACGAATTGAATCCATATCACCAATCACACAAAATCACACTCCTATAGTTTTGATAAAAAAAAAAAAGTGACCTGCTCTGATACCAATTGAAAAACCTAAGTGATTCGTGATTAGATCAAGACTTAATCATTCCAATTCCCAAGCAATTAAAACTCACAATCTATATCATCAAGCACGTACGAAAGTGATTTAGATTGTTGGTTTCGAAAACAGTAAATCAACACAAACGATTTTTACATGGAAAAACCCACAATTGAAGCACCTTCAATTGTAATAAAAAATCATGGGCAAAACGCCACAAATCAATCCACTACTGAAGAAAGAAAGATTACAAAGATACAAAACAAATTACCAGAACCGCTTCCAATTTGCCTTCAAATCTTCTATATGTCTTTCATCGCAACCTTCACCTGGTATTGATTAACTCGATGTTGAATCCACAACATCAATTGTCGAATCAATGACTACACACAGCATCAAACTCCTTTGATTACTCTGTGCTTGAATGTTCGGATTCCACCGAAGAAGAATACTCTCAAAGTAAATATCAAACAAACTCCTTGATGTGTGCTTATAAGAACATGAGTCAAAACTCAATCAAACATCAATGAAAACCAAGAAAAATATCCCAAAAGAAAACCCTAAGACTCTTAAAGAAGATCTAGGAAAAGTAACCCTAGAGTTGGAGCAACAAGTGAATTTATAGAAGCAGAGATCGCGCAGTCCGCTTGAGCATGGGAATGGACGCTCGAGCGGGGACTCTATATCGCGTGTTCCAAACCAGGGTTCAAGCTTGAGCGGAAGATCCCACGCTCAAGCGTAAAAACACATCACTCAGTATTTTTGCAGATACGCAAAATACTGTGAGAGTGTAAACTCCGCTCGAGCGTCACTTTGCCCGCTTGAGCGGGAAGACAAAAACTGGAAAATTACAACTCAATTAACAACTTAGTTTTTCCAAGGATTTTGACAACAAGGGTCCTAACAATCTTGATCATAGATACTTATTTGATTAATTTCATTTTTATATAGATAATATATTCAACAAATTCTATAATATGAACAGTTTAAATTATTAAAATATAATCAAAACAAACTTCAAAAATTGTGACAGCATGAGCACCCAACCCCCAATCTCGATCCCTCCTTACACCTCATTATGAGACTAAAGTGAAAATAACTAGTGGGACAAATTTGAATATTAAAGCTAAAATCTTCTTGCAAAAAAACTACTGATACTACTCCAACAGACCAGTATTCTAAAAAACTTTGTTGCAATTCTTTTCCATAAAACATAGAAAGAACTTATTTTTTAGTAAATTATATGTAGCTCGGCATTTTCGCGCCCCCTTTCGGAAGGTTTGAAAAGAGCCCTACAGTTCGGACTCCTGCAGTTCTGAATCTAATCTCACAAGTGCAATGTGAAATTGATAAACACCCAAGAGTCCAAATCCAGCAAATCTTTTGGAAAATCGATTTTGGGATCAAAATGCCAAAATTGGATTGTTTTGCCAGATATAGAGGCGCCACCTAAATATTTTATTTTGGGGAAATTAGGAAACCCATGACTCGTGACAAAGGCCACGTGTCCGTTATCACCAAAGTTGCCTCGACTCGAGAACTTAGGTATGAGAGGGAAAGGTCATGAATTGAGCACCCCCACTCGCCCGATCAAAGATCAACCTCTACTAATCATGATATGATTTTTTTATAAACATTATGTGCTCTTGTTTTGGTTATTAAACTAACATTACTACATGATGCACACAATCAAGTATAGACTAGTTTGCTCAATTTGGAACAATTCAACTCATGTTTGTTTGTGAAAATGGTTTGAATTTGCTACCTCAAGTGGGCTTAAAAGTTTGTGAATTTGCCACCAAACATAGTGGGCTTAAAACTGACTTGCCACTCGATAAAGTGGGCTTAAAACATACATTCGTTGCATCGTTCCAATTCAAACAACAAGCCTTCATCCACAGGCATTCAAACAGTTTATTAGATAAGCATGCTAGTCATGGAAACACTCACACTCATGCAAGTATGCTAAAGCACTAAAAACAAAAAGATATGAGTTAGAAAAAAACATGATTCCTAACTATACAAAAATGACTAATGCAACACATGCGATATGCAATTAATAGGCTCGGCTACTAATATGGCATATGATTCAATTTGATAACATGCGGTTAAACACGTATTCAAAGAATGCATTTAAAATGATAATGCAGTTAGAATGATGCACCGAGCCTCAGTACATGCAATATAAAATGAATGGATGCAAGCATAAGGTATGCTAATTGAAACATGTCCCTAATCTAACCATCAAAAGTAGTTAAATAAAAGGAAGAAAGACGTGGGGTTGGAAGACATACACATTATTACGTTTTGCTCTCACGAAGGAGAATCCGAATGAATAACAAAGCTAAGCTAATTAAGCTAATTAGGCTAAGCTGATTAAGCTAAGTATTACAAATCAAAATAAATAACTAGCTAAACTAATTAACTAATTATTACAATAACAAACGAACTAATTAAATAATTTCAAACCAAGTGCAACTAGTAATTTAACTAAATAATTAAACTAAGCTAATTTGCTGCTCCGCCTCGAGAGACGAAGGATGTGCACATGCATGTTTGGTTTCTACCCGAAAAGACCTTTGTTTTGCTCTTGAAAGCCTCTGTTTGCACAGTTGAACACTTCTAGAATCATTTTGCTCCATCGTACCAACATTCTACTAAGGTTTGCATCAGTGGCCAGCCGACCACTGGTAAAGACTGCCGGCCATCTGCCGGCCGTCAATGGTGCTCTGTCGGCCACCTGCTGGCCATGGATAATGGCCTGCCGGCCACTGATGCACTGGTTCATCTTGCTACAACAGAAGACAAACAGAGTAAAGAAAGGGTATTTTCGAGGATTGTCTGCACAATTCACCCCTCTTTTTCATGAACAAATCCAAGGAGTTGTGAACTTAAGCCACAAACCACCAACTCAAGCAATTTCATTACATGATAGCTTGTGACTCAAGAGGTGTAAGCTCAATGAATGCAAAACAAAACACAAACCCCCTCCCTTTCATGAATGATCAAGGGAAGAAGTTGACCTCAGAGACTTGAATCATTTCATCACTAACAAGTATGAAATGGTTCAAGCTTCCATGCGTTCAATTAACGTCCGATTGAACACAGCCAAATTATTATCTTTCTCACTTTTAGTTTCAAGTTTTAGATACTCATTTCAACTTTACCAACCATCCTTTAATTCATTAAGTCCAAATGGTGAATTTAAGTCCTCTAATGGAGTGAAGTACCAAACCAAGAGTTAACTTAAGACACGAAAGAGATGTCATGTCGTTGATAATGAACCCCTAAAAGGGATTAAACAATTAAGCATGACAACCTCAATTTCATGCTTAAAAGAACAAGAGGCTTGAAACAATTCTCAAAGAAAAACAAAAACTAAGAAAGGAGGGAGGTTGCAGAGATTATTAGTGCTGAAAATAAGTGCAAAACAATACCAAAGCACGCAATCAACTCAAACAAGGGGTGCCTAATGGCCTAAAACACCAAACTTGTGAGGACTATTACACTACAACCATGCAAAACAAGGCCAAACAGCCCAAAACAAAGCTAAAGTAGTCTAAAACAAAGGCAAAAACATGGTGGAATTAAGCTAACACAAGCTAGAAAAATAAGCTAACACATGGCAAACATGGTGGAATTAAGCTAACACAAGCTAGAAAAATAAGCTAACACATGGCACTAACTTGGCTAGCAAACAAGACACAAGGAGGGGAGGTTAACCCCTCCAATTTTGGACCTCAAAACATGATTTTTCTTATTGAAAATACTCTGAAATTCAGTGGTAAAAGCCCAAAAAAAGATGGTTTCAAAATGGGAAACAAAGGTGCAAAGGCCTTAACAAACAAGGAATAAAGAGGAATGAACCACCCCTTAACCTTTAATGGCGAAGAACACCAATTTCATTCCATGAAAACAAAGTTTTTTATAGCTCAAAATCAGCCCACAACAGTAGGAAAAATGCAATCAACTCAAACAAGTGGTCTCTAAAGGCCTAAAACACCAAGCTTGTGAGGACACTTACACTACAAGCATGCGATACAAGACTCAAATGACTTAACCATCCCAAAATAGAGTTAAAACAGTCCAAATCAGAGCCTAAAACATGCTAGAACTAAGCTACAAATGGCTAAAAAAATAAGCTAGCACATAGAGCTATCTAGGCTAGCAAACAAGACACAAGGACGGGAGGCTAACCCCTCCAATTTGGACCTCAAAACATGATTTTGCTTACTGAAAATACTCTGAAATTCAGTGGTAAAAAGCCCAAAAAAAGATGGTTTCAAAATGGGAAACAAAGGTGCAAAGGCCTTAACAACAAGGAATAAAGAGGAATGAACCACCCCTTAACCTTTAATGGCGAAAAACACCAATTTCATCCCATGAAAACAAAGTTTTTTATAGCTCAAAATCAGCCCACAACAGTAGGAAAAAGATGGAAAAACAAATAAGCAAAGTAAGCTTAAAAGGCTAATATTATACCTCTTGAAGAGAAGAGTGATTCCAAGCAACAATTCAAGCCAAAAACAACTTGTAGAGCTCCAAAAGGGCCTCAAAGAACCTCAGCTCAAAGATGATCAACTTTGATTAAGGAGGTGTAGGCAAAAGTGTAGTGTATGTAGGTTACTTTTCACAAACTTGCAAGAGAGAGAGAGAGAAATGTAGAGAGAGAGACTCCCAAAATTTTTCTAACCTTGAAATATGAGAGATAAGTCATCTATATATAGAAAAATGTGAGCTTTGGTCGAAAATATCATCAAATGGATAGCTGGAACTTTGTGCAAACAGTTGGAGCTAAATATCTGCACAAAAAAAAATTGATTTTTGACACTAGTGGCTGGCAAACTTCATCCATGGCTGGCATGGGGCCGGAAAACTTCACCTATGGCCAGCAAGGGGCCGGTAAGCCACATTAGTGGCCGACCACAAAAATCTGTTTTTCGGGCCTAACTTCAAATGGGCATATCTTCTTCATCCGGAATCCTTTGCAGGTCATTCTTGAGTGTAAAATGATGCCCCAGAAGTCTACTTTCCAATGGTGGTGGCCTCATAACTAAAGTCCAAGTATACAAAATGATAGGCCTGATTTAGTGAGGCTGCCCGGTTCTCTCTTAATGGTTTCAAGCCCAACTTCTTTCCCAACTAGTTTTCTTCCCTCCACTCTTATTTTCTTCAACTCCAAACCTCTAAATAAGAAGTTTTAAAAGATTTTTTTCAAAGATTTCACCTCCCTTTCATTTATCTCCACTTTGTCCTTGCTCGGTTTACCAACAAGTGCAATTTTCAACAAAATGCAAGCCTCGGAACATCGTAGAAACATTTTCAAAAATATTTTGAAAAAGAGGGTTTTGAGGTCTAAAATAATTTTGGTCAAAATAGTTTTGGTCCAAAATGGGGTATAAAGTTGGGATTTTGAGCTCTTCTTGCTAAAGAAATCGAACATTTGCATAGCACGACTTTCATTATTGAGTGATAAATCGGTGGTGCCCAAGTCTTAAGGATGGTCAAAAATATGATGTCTACATTATACTATTAGTTCTTTTGATTTAAATGAATTGTCATTTTAGTCATTACAATTTTAATTTAAATAATTTGATTCATATATTTTCAATTTTGTTATAATGTAATCATTCCGTTATGTGTCATTAAAATTTTAAACAGAAAAAAACAAGATGCAAAAATTAAAGAGGCTAAAGTGAAATTTATTTAATACATCAGTAGTCTACTATACTTTCTTTTGAATTCCACTTTGATCCCTCTAATCTTGCACATGATCTTTTTTTGGTTCAAATTCTAAGAGCAAATGACAAACTAATTTGAATTGTTTAAAACTAAAGTGCAAGGTTTATGTGATTTTTTTTCTAGAGATCACACTCATCCAAAAAAAACAACGTAACCCCTATTGTATTGATGTGAAAGGGCAGAGACCAACTTAAAAAAAAAAATCATATAAACACAAACACAAACACAAACAAAGATCCATACAAATCAATTTGATCTCTCTTTTAACCTATCAATTTTAAGGTCGTAATCAAACATAGAAAAACGCTTACTATAAATAACATTTTTTTGCAAAAACAAACGGAACATAAATGCCAAATTTGAGCAACAATTTAATAATGACTAAAGAGCGGGAGCTATATGGCCATGCAATTTCAAATGAAAGATACAACAAAATGATAATTCTTACACACAATCTTAGTTGGAAATATCTCACATGAACATATTTTTTATATAATACAATCTAATCAAAGGAAGGAAGAAAAGAAAAAAAAAAAAAGAAAAGAAAAGTGACAGTTATTTATTCAAGCAGCTGATGAGGATGATGAATATGAACTCATCAAGGAGGCAATAAAACACAAAGCTACCACTTGAACTCTATTGGCCGATGGAGTATCATATCCCATATAGGTAACCATTATTGGGGGTCCTTGGAAGTAACCTTGATCAACAAAACAATAAACATGCTTTAGTTCACATTAAAAATAAATAAATAAGAAGAAGAAAGAAAATAAAATTAGAGCCAATCAAAAAGAAAAGAAAAATGAGAACATGAAATTGAGATGTTTCAGAAGAGGGAAAGATTCATTTTAGTAGAGTAATGACATACATAAACAAATTTCTCATCAAATTTTCTTACCATGAGTCGCAAATTTAGTGGGGTCCATAATATTAATAAATATACGCAAAACTCAATGTCCTTTTATCTAGTGATAAGAAAATTAGGTAAAAAATTCGTTTGTGTATAACATTATTCATTTTGGTAATGCATATGCATGGGCAAGAGGGTATGATACACACCTTTGGCTTTTATGTTGCAAAATCTCTTCCAACTTCCTAGTCTTGGTTCAACCCATCATTCATGGATGTATTTTTTATCTTACGCAATTCGCTAATAACACTTCCCAATTCCATTCGATTTACTGGTGATTCCATTGAACATGCAACCCCAATTGTCATAATGGAAACCATGCAGTCTTTAATCCAACTTCTTGTGTTATGCTCCAATGGAATGTAAGGATCCACAATCTCCATCACCCGATCCGGCAGAGCATTCTTAACGAAGTTATGAAGATTTAGATGATCTTTAAACATAGCGTCGGTTGGTCTCTTACCTGTAAATATCTCCAGTAAAAGAATCCCAAAGCTGTATACATCCCCTAGTGTGGAAGCCATGTCACCCATGCCATACTCTGCAAATTGTTTCTAATGTTAGTGTGCAAATTAGTTGTAATGTTAGTGTGAAAAGTGAGTCCAGTTAGTTGACACAGTTGTAATCCCAATAGAAAATGTGGTATGATGGCCTTAGTGCCGTTTTGGCAACACACCAAAAACGTAGCTTTTTGTGTGTGTGTTGCCAAAAACGCCAGGTTGTCCAAAACGCCCCAAATCCCATTTGGGAAGACCAAAAACACAACACCCAAATTTACCAAACTACCCTCTAGAAAATTTTAATTAATTAATTCAAAAATCAAAAAGTAAGGATATTTTAGTCATTTTGGAGTGATGTGACACTTTTCAAAAATATTAAATCAAAAATCAAAAAAGTCAGCTTTTTACCAACTTCCCAAATCACTTCCAAAAAAGCCAAAAAACTTGATAAAAAGCCAAAAGCCAGCTTTTTACCAACTTCTCAAAACACCCCTTAATTTCATCTCTATGAATAACAACATAAGTTTTATTGAAGCAAACAAAAATTAGTCTTGCACGAAAAGTTCTGTCAGAATCAACTACACAAGTTTCCAAGTACTGAGTAAGATCTTGGAAAATGCTTTGATTGCAAAATTCTATCTACCAGTAGATACCACAGACTATTTTGATCGGAGTAACATTTCATAGTAGAATTACATAATGAAGAGTTTAAGGGGGGAAAAAAAAGACAGAAAAGAAGAAAAAAAATAGAGGAGGCGGCATAGAGGTTTAACTTAGGTATTCCATAGCCAAGTTCAAGCATGGCCACATTAAACAAAGTAAACTTGAAATTGAATAGCAATATTTACATTGAGATTAAGCATGCCCACATTAATGAAAATAAACTTAGTACTTTGTTTCTTAATAGTGAGGAGGTGGAAGCACACATATGGAGCATTAAAAAATGGCACAAAATCTGTATAAAAACAATGCTTAAAAATATGTAGGAGCCCACTATTTTGTAGAATGCCATGGTTTTTTGTATGGCTGTTTGTGCTGAAATTATTCTACCATGCATGGTGTATATAGATGTATGTGTGTGTATATATATATTATTACTTTTCCTATTGCAAGTTCAATTTTTCTACTCCAAGGAAATTGCAAAAGATTTTGTACCTGGAGCAACATAGCCTATGGTTCCCCTTATCGCAACTGAATTGCTTTGACCTTGTGCCATATCACTTGAAACAGTAGAAATAATTTTTGCTAACCCGAAATCTCCAATATGGGCCGTCATCTCATCATCCAAAAGAACATTGCTTGGCTTTAGATCACCATGAATAATTGTCGACTCGCAACCACAATGAAGATACTCAAGTGCAGAGGCAATATCAGTGGAAATGTCTAGCCTCTGAATTAGTTTAAGATTTCTGGGTTCTTCTGGTTGCCCATGGTCTCCAACTCCGACTTGATGCAACCAATTGCCCAAGTTTCCATTTGCCATAAATTCATATACCAGAGCTTTGAATTCATTACCATGGAAATCCACACTAGAACAAACGCTCAAAATTTTCAATAGATTTCGATGCCTTATCGCTCTTAGTGCTTTGCATTCTATCATGAAGCTCCTAGAAGCTCCTCTAGTCTGAAGATTGAGCACTTTCACTGCCACAACCATCTCACCTTGATCAAGAATCCCTTTGTAAACTGAAGCATAGCTCCCAACACCAATTAGATTAGCCTCTGAGAATCCATTGGTGGCTTTGAGAAGCTCTGTATAAGAAACCCTCAAAACTTGATGTTTGATTAATGGCATGCTAGAGGTCTTCTTTTTTGAATGATGACGTCGTTGAAGAAATATAAAGAAGCTAACAAACAAAGATAAAAATATCAAAAGAACAACCACCAATAGGATCACTTTCATCCTGTGAGATAGCTTATTCTTGCTTGATCAAGAATCCCTTTGTAAACTGAAGCATAGCTCCCAACACCAATTAGATTAGCCTCTGAGAATCCATTGGTGGCTTTGAGAAGCTCTGTATAAGAAACCCTCAAAACTTGATGTTTGATTAATGGCATGCTAGAGGTCTTCTTTTTTGAATGATGACGCCGTTGAAGAAATATAAAGAAGCTAACAAACAAAGATAAAAATATCAAAAGAACAACCACCAATAGGATCACTTTCATCCTATGAGATAGCTTATTCTTGCTTGATTTGGAGGATGGACATGGAGGAAGGTCTAATTCTGCAATACCTCCACATAGCTCATTATTTCCAACAATTGAAATTGTACTCCCATTTTGAAACACTCCTTGTAGTGGAACTTGTCCATGTAGCCTATTAAAAGACAAATTCAACATATCTAGTTGAAGCTCACCTAGATAACTTGGGATCAATCCTGACAAATTGTTGCATGAAAGATCCAACCATCTTAAACCCCTCAACATGCTCAAACTTTGAGGTATCTCTCCTTCAAATGAATTGGCCTCCAACTGAAGCCATTCCAAACTCAAACAATTGCTCAGAGTGTTTGGTATGGGTCCTGATAATCTATTATAGGACAAACCCATGTTTGCAAGATTTTTCAAAGACCCGACTTCTAATGGAAGAGAACCAGTTAGTGCATTGTGATCTAACATGAGGAATTTTGAAATGGAAGAGAGACTCATAATTTCAGGGGGTATTGAACCATTGAGATTATTTTTATAAAGGTCTAATTCCAACAAGCTATGGCAATTGCCCAAACTCGGAGGTATGCTTCCATGGATATTGTTTTCTGCCAAATTGAGAGTATTCAACAAAGTCAAATTACCAAGCGAAGATGGAAGTTCTGTGAATTTGTTCTGGTTTAACATCAGAACTTGCAGCTTATGAAGTGTGCCAATGGAGGAAGGAATAGGGCCAGTAAGATAATTCGTTGTCATAACTAAGACAGTGAGGTTGAGGAGGTTCCCGATGCCCGAAGGAATGCTTCCGTGTATTTCATTAATCTGCAAATTTATGAAGCTAAGATGTGTGGAGAGATTAGCAACGGAGTCAGGTAATGAACCTCTAAGAAGATTGCTACTGGCTTCAATAAATTTTAAACTGGTGCAATTTGTTAGAGACGAAATAAAAGTGACGTCCTCCTGCAACCAATTTTCACTAATTATTATTGTTTGAAGACCCAAAAGTTTTCCAAGATCTCTCGGCATTGTCCCACTGAGATAATTAGTAGATAAACTTATCAATTCAAGCCCCGAAGCATTTGACAGTGAAGTAGGAATTGTTCCAGTAAACAAATTGCTGGAAAGTGAAAGAAACTTGAGATTAGCAAGTGTGGAGCCTATATGAGGAGGAATATCTCCTTCAAGTTGGTTATTGGCTAGTGAGAGCATATTGATGGTGGAGATATTATAAAGGCCAAATGGAAGCTTACCAGATAGGCTATTCCCCGATAACTGGACAAATCTCAGGCCGGGAAGCTCAGCAATTACTCCCGGAATCTCCCCATGCAAATTACAATCCACGAAAGAGAGATTGGAAAGAGATGAAAGGTTTCCAATGGAAGGAGGGATGGTACCTGAAAGCTTGTTTTTACTCAAGGCTAAAGTTCGAAGCCTTGACAAATAGCCCAACTCAGCTGGGATGTTTCCGGTTAGGTTGTTGTAGTTCAAGTTCAGCCATTCAAGTTTTGAGCAGCGAGAAAGGTCGTTGGGTATTCCACCACCAAATGAGTTGGTGCTGAATTCTATTGTTTGTAGCCGAAACAAGCGACCCATCTCATGTGGGATTGGGCCGTGGAAGCTATTGTTTTGAAGAACAATGCTTTTGAGGAAGGAGAGGTTTCCTACATGAGGTGAGAGCGATCCAACCAGGCCTTGGAACTTTAGAGTTAGCCCAATAACTCTATCAGGATGCCGACGACTACACAAAATGCCGTTCCACTGGCAGTGGTGGAGTGAATGATTCCAGGAAGTGAGGGCACCAAATGGGTCTTGATCTATTGCAGCCTTGAAGGCCACCAATGCAACTCTATCTGTCTCATTTTCCATGATGCAACTGGCTCCAGGGATGTTGCACAAGTAGCAACACCACACAAGGGCAGTGCAGAGCAAAGAAAGCCACTCTGACATGATTTTTTTATTTTTATTTATGATGAATCGATTGTTTTTTCAGGGTAGAATACAATATTGTAATCTGAAATTTTATAAGCTTTTCCTGTTTGTTTGGCTGCCAGACTGGAGTAAAATGGCTGTGAGTCCCACTCACAGTACATTTGGTGTTGATTTGGGTCGTCAGCTTGCTAACGTGAGCGGCTTAATAATCTCCGGGGAGATTAGCTTGGCCAAGAAAAATGTGAGATTAGAAAAATAGTTAGTGGAATGGGTTCATCCGGACGTCCGGCCAGCTGATCGGAATAGTTTTTTTTTGTTTTTTTTTTTTACAATTGCAACATGTTATTTTAAAAAAGAAAATTTTATATTTGTTTTAAATATATTTTTAATATAGAAATTATTTGTTCTAAATTTTTTATAAAAATAATTTAACATTCTCATCATTAACCATCTTCAACACTATATTATCAATACAAACACACTTTCATCTAATCTCTACACTAACAATTTACATATTAACAATCTTTTCATTAACTATTCATTCACTAATAATTTTATTCAATTTAATTCGTCAAACAAATATGATTTAGTTTCGTCTATAATCGTTTTAAAATGTGAACCATTAAAAAAAAGTTTGCTCAAACAGAGACACTAAAAAGACTTCAGTGGAGTTTGCAAGACAGAAGTGTCCCAATCTTCTAAGAAAAAAAATTGCTATTGACTACTAATGGGTCAATTGTAGCCTATTGTAAGTCCATTATAGAAACTTTGGAAGCAATCAATTCAAGTAGACTGGAATTAACGAATATTTATAATACGGATAAAATCTTTAGCCATTTGTTTAGTAAAAAATTTAAAATTTATAGTATTTTTCTTATGACTCATAATGAAGGAAAAATACAAATAATCATATTATTTAATACATAAATTGTTTGGATCAAATATTAAATTGCGAGTCTCATCTAAAAATCCCCGTTAATTAAAAAATTATTAAAGTTTCTCAATATTAAATGTTCTGTAAAAGGCAATAGATATTTTTATTCTTAAAATTTCCATGATTTACATAATTTTTTTGACAAAAAATCATGAAACTTATTTGTCTTATTTTTCATGATGCAACTGGCTCCACGGATGACTTAAGGATCCTCTAGAGTGAAATCATTGATCTCCTACAATGATGCATGGATGACCGACATGTGTCCCACTCAACTTTCAAGAGTTCAGATGCAACCTCACGAAAACAATATCGTTTTGGTGAGTATTTTGAAAAAAAAAAAAAAATTACTAGATTTCAAAATTCCCTCCAACTGCCTATACATATAGAAAGAGAGAAACGACACTGCCTCTCTGCCTCCCGACGCCCTTCCGCCACCGTCGATCTGTCACCAGCCGACTACCTTACAGCTGCTATATACGAGCAGATATAGAAAACAGAGAGAGAGAAAGAGAGGAGAAGAAGAGAGGAGACGCTGCCTCCGTACCTCTCGACGCCCCTCCGTCACCGAGGATCTTGACGTTTTATGAACAGCCACACCGCCATGCAAATTGACCCTATTTGACTAGTAGTTAGTTGTCAATACATGTAACAACACTAGAAGATTAGTGTACCTTATCTATTTTTTTTCATTCCCACAACAACTCGTCACTGCACACTCAAATTCATTGTATTGTCTTGTATAGGTTTGAGTCTGTTTCCTTCATTGATACACACACTCATTACATATACACAACAACAATCGTCTTCTTCTTCCTCTTTGTGATTATTCCTAATATAATTATTATTTACAAAGTTTCAAGAACAAGGTTTGGAAATTATTGTGAAAGGGTTCGTGTTTGGAGGTTGAATTTGAACTCTGGATTGGGAAAAACAAAAAACAAAATGGTACCCAAGTGGGTTTGTGCTAGGTTTGTTTACCTCCTTGGTTTGATTTTGAATGTTGCAGAGTTCTGTAACGGCGGAATGACTAGTGGTTATCAAAGACCTAATAACCTCAATTTTGGAGTATGGCGGATAGGGTGTCGGCAGCGGCGTAAGAGCAGTGCAGAGCAAAATTCTGACACGATTTTTTTATTTTTTATTTATGATGAATCGATTATTTTTTTAAAAAATGCTTTAGAGCTCTAAGGTTAAGTTTGGCAATTCTTAAAAAATTTAAAAAATTAAAAAGTCACTATCCTATTTAAGTCATATCACCTCTCTAACACATCACTTCAAACCCAATCCAAATCTAATTCATATTTCATAAAAAATCAAAAAGTACACTTATTTAGTCTTCTTAAACTTGGCCTAAATACGAAGTTTTAGGAGGAGCTCTAATGAGTTGGCTGTCTCATGATGTGATGGCTGTGTGTGCTTTTTTTTTTTTTTTTTTTTTTTTTTTTTTTTTTTTGAATTTATAAATCATTAAAGCTAGTTTAGTGCTCTCTTTTTAGAGGGATGTATCATGACTTTATTTTTTTTAGGGTAGTATATAGGCTCAATTTAGCAAGATGGTTAAAAATTAATAGGTAGTTTTTAACCTATTGTTAGTCACATCACATCCCACATTATTTACATATTTTTTTTTAAAAAGTAAAAATTTTAATTTTTAATCATCTTTTTAAAACACCCTATAATATTGTAATCTAAAATTTTGTAAGTCTTTTAGACGTCGTTTGAAAATTATGTAAAAATATGTGAAAAATAATATAATAATTTATAATATTTTTTTGATTTTTTTAACTAAAACTGAAAATTATGAACACCTTAGTTTGGTCTAGAATCGTCTTAAAATGTGAACCATTAAAAGAAAAAAAAGTGGGTTCAAGTAGAGACACAAGACTCCAGATCCAGTGAAGTTTACAAGACAGGTGTCCCTATCTTCTAAGAAAAAATTTGCTACAATGGACCAATGCCAATTTAAAAAGATCAGACAGGCGTTTGTATATTCTATGCATAATTTTAGGGGGAGTATATATGGTTATCATCTAATTGTTTCTTACTCCTTATCTGCATTAAAATATAATTTCTTAGAAAAATTTTAAAAATTTTGTTTGGTTCAATTTTTTTTAAAAAAATTTAAAAATTATTTTTTATCTCCTATACATCAACCAATCACTTTTTCTCTTTCCTCTCTCCTTCTTAATTACTTTTTTTCTTACACACATCTACTTAATTATAACAAAATATTAAATTATTTCAAACTCTCAAATTTTAAAATTATTTTCAAAATATATAACAAAAAAAACTACTCAAAAAATTTCTAAATTCCCTCTATACAAATTTTTAAAAAAAAATTATTTTAAAATACAAACCAAATGCACCCTTGGTGAGGTTTGCCAGACCGCATTAGGACGGAAATTAGGCCAAGTTTGGAAAGACTAAATAAGTGTATTTTTTGACTTTTTATGAAATATTTGTTGGGTTTGGGTTGGGTTTGAAGTGATGTGTTAGAGAGGTGATGTGACTTAAATAAGATGATATAATTTAAATACGATAATGACTTTTTAAATTTTTTAAGAGTGGTCAAACTTGACCTTAATCTTTCATCATGCACCAAAAACAAGGGTGATTATTTATTATTTTTAGATTATACACACGTGATACTTTATAGAATTTTGATCGGTAAAAAAGAATAAAAATTCACAATTTATGTTTGAAATAAAAATATAATATAAAACTAAATAATTAATAATTAATATGAAATATAACCACATCACGTTTCGAAATTCTTGAATAATTTTCTCAAGAACAGTGTCTAAGAAAAAAAGTTTACAAGACAACACTAAGAAAAAATTTGCTCGATGGTGATAGATATACGCGTGCCTAAGCGCGTAGAGGTTTGGTCACGATGTTGTCAAGTTAGCATAGCAGCTTTGTCGGTAGATGTGCTGAGTGCATATTTGCTGTAAAGCTGCTGGTTTTTTGCGTGTATGGCAGAGCTTCGTGGCTGGGTGTCCTGCAGTTCCCACCGCATCAAGCGTTGAGATCCTCTATAGTGTTAAGGCTAGAGTGATCTCTTAGAGTGAATTATGAGGGCGCGACACCTGTCCCACTAATGAAACTAAGGGTTGAGATCAATCCCTCACCAAAACGACGTCGTTTTACTGGGAAAATTTAAAAAAAAAAAAAAAACTGAGTGAAATGAGAAACGAAGAAGAGAGAGAGGGGACACAGCCGCTGGAGTTTTTCTTTATCTCCGGCGCACTCTCCTTGGATCATTATCGTCTACGACACCACATGGGATGGGAGAAGAAGAGTCGCCTCAATTAGGGCTTCTCTCATCTTCTCTAATTAGCTCTCTTTAGATTTCAAGTGCGTTGATCTTCAACTTTGGCCGCAGACTGTCTCAGATGGAGGAGGGTCGATTCTGTCAATGGACCGTCTTTCGATCCATTCTCGCCATCCTTCAGTGGTGGGGTTTCAATGTTATTGTTATTATCATGAACAAATGGATCTTCCAGGTCCGTTCATTCTTTTTTTCTTTTTTTAAATTATATATATATATAATATGTATATATATATATTATGTATACATATATATATATTCCTCACACTACCTCTCTGAAGAATTATATACTAGTAATGTTATTAAATGGGTTTGCTAAAATTGCCCAACTTTTTTGGTGGGGATTTTTTATTTTTTTTATTTTTAATATCAACTTCGATGCTGAAATTAGGTTCATGATTGAATTTTGTTTTTCTACATTAAAAAAGAAAAAAAGAAAGAAAAAAAGAAGAGGATGAATTTTGGTTGTGCTTGTGATGGATCATGAATGCTGCTGTGCCAAAATAATGTTTGACTAGGCACCCTGTGGTAAGGCCATTTCCTACATAGATTACTCTTTCAAGGTTGTTTCCCTTAAAAATGCTCTCTTCTTTTCTTCATGGAAGGTTTAGAATGACACACAATCATTGTATTCAGTAGTTGTGATGCTGCTATCAATGAACTAATGCAAAAACATACTCTGATCATGAAAAGACAGTAATATAATCCTATTTTTTATTTATTTATTATTACTTAAAGTATCTTTTAGACTATGTGTTTTTCAAACACAAAAAGGTTTGAATTTTGGACTTTGTTGAATATTTTGTAGTTGAAAGTGTGAAGATTTGTGCCTGTTAAATTAGGGTGAGA